ACTTTCGATTTTATTCATATTTAGTCACTAAACTTTTTTTGTTATCTCTTTGCCATTGAACTATTGAAACTGTTCACAATTTACCCTTATGACCGGCAATAGCCGGTCATAAGGGTAAAATGTGAACAGTTTCAATAGTTCAATGGCAAATAGATAACGAAAAAAAGTTTAGTGACTAAATGTGACAAAAATCAAAAGTTTGTTACCCTTTCAAGTCATTATCCCTATCGTAAATGTAGTGAATGGAGATTAGAGTGGAAGAAAAACTTGGTTATTGGAAAAATGAACCTCTTAGGCTCAAAGAAAACTCTGGGTAGTCACAAATCACGATGAGTTATTTTGTTGACATCCTCATCAAGGCTCAAAGAAAACTCTAGGTAGTCACAACTCACGATGAGTTATTTTGTTGACATCCTCATCAGTCAAATTCTAACAGAAGTCCTACAATACAAAATGTGCTGATAAAGAAGAAAACGTAACAATAAAATCAACAACTCAATGAACCTCACATTTGTGTAAGTCAATAGATCAGTAGAAAAATTACCCTTTTAAGCCACACTAAGTATGGGGAGAACTGTCATTGTCCACCATGGCATGTTAAGAATGAACTAGCACCCTCTAGCAAAGGTAACTAGATGGATTTTACAACTACATAGGCTTTATCAAACAAATGCACATATACATGAAAGAGAAAGAAAGACATGGTAATAGTTTTTCATTTCAAAATTGATAACATGGAAGTGTTGGTCCTGAAAGTCATGACATCAAACAAAAATTGTGTTTTATAAACATTTTAAATCAAAAATGATATAAAACTGATTTTATACATCCAAAGCACATGTACCTTGAAGTGGCAGAGTTAAAGTGGTAGATACGACATGCTACTTATATGTAAATGTTTTGGCATAGATGCAGAAAGGAGTGGTGATGGCTGGGTTGAATAATAAGATGCATAATCAATATGCCTCTTGAGGTGATTGCAACATTCATAGCTAAACAGACAAACTAATCACCGACTGAAAACAAACAAACAAACTAATAACACCGAATGAAAAAAAAAAAAAAAAAAAAAAAAAAAAAAAAAAAAACTAACTAACTAATAACACAAATGGAGGAAATAGCTAAACAGAAACATAATTATACAACAGAAATAAGGCATCAACAAACTAGAATGATGGGTGAAAATTTACCAGATGTTATTATGGGTCTTGTACGATTTTGTTTGTTGTTCCTTCAAATCCTTTACTACAATCTTGTTTGAACTTGTTTATTTAACAAACCTTGAAATGTAATCTCTCAAATGCTTTTGTTTCAAAGGAATTTCAACCTACCCTTATATACCCTTGACAACAAAAAGAAAAAATATTGCAACCAGTTAGGTTTTATTGAAATTGAAATTAAAACAAGAGCAGTGAATTACAAAGATAATCGACAAGAATTCTTCCATGTGAGATAACGGTTCCAAAAAACAATGTCGCCCCCTCCTGGTAGTGGACTTGGTGTGCCATCGTGAACAGGGAAATCAGGAACAACGTCCTTAAATTTCTGAATAGAAACCTCTGAACTGAAATCAAATATCATCGCCTTTGATTTATGCTTCGCCCGATATACTCAGAAAACGAAAAATACTTCGTCACTGCTTCTAATTTAGGGTTTGGGTGTTTAGGGTTGGATGTCGTTTCTTGCTTTTGATTGTTCGAAGAACATGATCAAAAGGAAACGGATATATATTATCAGTGTAAGAAAATAAAAAAGAAACACAAAGAATTGGACATTCACCCGTCTCCAATCAGCTTCCATCCCCACCCTCTCTCTCTCTCTTCTCGCCAAAATGGTAACGACGATCAGATAGCGACCCCCCTAGCAAGCGTTAGGGGGTGGTGTTCAAGAGTCGCTAACGAGCATAGCGAGTGGGCTTAACATCCCCATTCTGCTTAGCCTAAGCCTTACCGGTGATTGTGGTAGAGAGTATCTTTGGAATCGTATACCAGCTAGGTTAAATGGCATGATATCAAAATTGATAGGCAGGAAGCCAAAAATTGATGGCGGGATATGGAAAATAGATAAGCAGGATACCAAAAGTTGATGGTAGGACACTGAAAACTAATAGGTGGCGTTTTTATTTATTTTTATATCACATAAATATAACTCGGTTCTTCATTTAAAACCGGATCATATTACATTTCTTTTTATAAAACCCGGTTTTTATATAATATAACCCGGGTTTTTCAAGAACCGAGCTTTATATGGTGGGTCTTATGTGTGGTTTTGTAGTAGTGATTGTGGCGGCGTGGTGGGTATACCAACCTTTTAATGACTGTGTGTAGTGATGATGTGACACAATGCTAAAGTAATTAGTGATGGGTATAACCGGTAGTCTTAAATTACTGACTTTTAGAACTCCAAAGTTATTGATCCAATACCATATCGATAATTAAGATGTGAATATATGAAAGTTTTCTTGACAAAGAATGACGTATAACTAACTAATAATATTTTGGTCAATGCCATGTGTAGTTGTAAATAAACATTTAAATATAATTTCTGAAACTCATAAATGAATAGGGAAGTTTAGGAATTTCTTTATATTTTAATGTGGGACTTTCTTGGAAAAGAAGTTGATTAGCAAAGCTATAAATATATGTTTCAAACCCTCTCTTTAAAGAACATCTCTTCATCCCTAGCCATTTTTTTTAAAACTGCATACTTTTCGCAATCAAAAATGGGTCTTAGTCGATTGCTTTCTTTAGTTTCTAATGTAAAATGCTTTGGCAGATCAATATCTACTAGTTACAGAAGTTATCAAAGTGATGTGCCAAAAGGTCATCTTGCAGTGTACGTTGGTGAAACCCAGAAGAGGCGCTTTGTTGTCCCAATATCTTACTTGGATCAGCCATCGTTTCAAGTCTTGTTGCGTCAATCTGAGGAAGAATTTGGGTTTCACCACCCAATGGGAGGTCTAACCATTTCCTGCAAAGAAGATGAATTTGTGAAGCTTACCACCCTGTTGAAAGATTCATGATAGTTCTGGAATCTAATTGTTGTAATTGCATGCACGTCCTCATTAATGAATTCCTGTAGAGTCGGTGGTGAAATTACACCCATGTTTGGGTAAATGTATACATGTATATCTTGAACTTTTTTACAGTTTTTTTTGTAATGTAAAAGAGATTATATATACATTCTTTATTATTGTAATTCATATGCAGAAAGTATTTTGTAATGGTAAAGCATTTGGATTGTAGATCCACCGCTCCAAGAAATGTGAATCTAATGAGAACAAGTAATTCATCCCGACAAATGCGATTTTGAACACATGGTTCATACCATTGAAAGTATGAAACCAATAAGCTCTAGTACCACTTGTCGCCAAAATTACAAATGTTGCTGAAAGTACCTTAAAAATCGAGTAAACAACAGACACTAATTTATGACTATTTACGCCTTTTCATGTGACTTCAAGTCCATAAATTAAGTTGTCTCCCAGTTACAATTTTTCTCCACGCGGCTTGCATGCATGACATGAAGTCGGCAAATGCAAGTTGAGTACCAATATATGATGAGCTTTTGTTTCATGTGTCAGCTTATAATGAATAACAGATTTTTCACATGTTCAATGTTCTTTACACTACTTTAGACCACCGTTAAAAGGAAAAATCTATGGTTTTCGCTTTTTTTAGATCCGCAAGAACATCAAGTCAAAGTGGTCGGCTGAAAATGAATCAAGTGCACAGTAATATAGTGTGTAGCAATATATCCGGAAACGACTATGAACAAAGTTACAAAGCACTTCGAGTTGTCGAGTTGATATGCCGATGTGGTCTTATATGCATTAGTGGGAACGTGAATGCTTGGAAAGCAAGTATGCTTCAAATGTTTATAACTCTTAAATTATCCGAGTGGCGTTATTTGCTTGCAATTAAGCACCGGCAGAAATTAAAGCACGTGGCCAAATCCTTTCAGTTGGCAACCTTAATTCAATTCAAAGTTTTCTGGTTATTGGCATGCATTTGAGCCTCCAATCTGATTCAATATTCATGGTGTTTCTAGCTAGTACTATCTAGTATATATACACATTATAACCATTATTTCATCTTCTTACGTATATTTTTTAAATATAACAAAGTCCATACGCTACAAAAAACACGAGCATTAGTGGCGACAAACATCGCCGCTGTAAAGTCGCCATTGTTGCTTTGCTACAAATGCTTCATATGTTGTCGTCAATGCTCTCTTTTGCCGCAAAATTATATGTGGTCGCCAGTTAATGCTCTGTCGATTAGGCCCAGATCAATGGATAGGGTTTACTCTTTTTTATACACGGATCATGATTTTCTAAAAATAGTTGCGACGTCATTACTGGCAAACGCATATTGTTAGCGTCGACACGTAACCCGCAAATTACGTGTCGCCGCTAATATAACTTAAATGAAACATGTCAGAAAAACGAGATTTTTCATTTCTAGCGAGTCGAATATATATTTTCACTTTTCCAAAATGGAAACATAACGAAGGAAAAGTTTGTTCTTTCATGAACATATATTGCTTATATTAGATTATTAGTCGTACCTTTTTTTAATTAAAAAGGGACTTATAATTTTCAGTTGAGTTAAAAATACATAGGAAACTTGTTCTCATGACGGAGAAGTATTGTTTTAATTATTTTCCTCATTTTGATGTGCGAGGATAATTAAAGATACCTTACACATATAATTGCTTGCTCCAATGATTAATCATTTATCGAGCTATACGCGTTTTGTTTATATTTATTTTTTGTTAATTATTTATTTACATTAAATACATTCTTGGAAATATGAGCAAAGCAGGCTTCACCTTTCCAGCATACGTTGCCAAATCTCGTCTATCCTATAAATACATGTCCCGAACCCTTCTCGAACTACAAATATTCTATTCGATTCTATCTGTAGATATCTACTTCGCAATCGTGTTCTTTAATTCAAGAGCTTACACATCTTAAAAATATTCTCACTCTCCAATACATGGGTCTTATGTGGTTGTCTTTGTCGTTGGTTTTCGGAGTGAAAAGTTTTAGCAGATTGAACGCTACTCGCAACAAAAATTATCAAAGGGATGTGCCGAAAGGTCACCTAGCAGTGTATGTTGGCAAAAACAAGAAAAGGCGGTGTGTCATCCCAGTATCATACTTGGAACAACCACTATTCCAAGACTTGCTGCGTCAATCTGAGGAAGAGTTTGGGTTTGATCACCCAATGGGAGGCCTAACCATTTCATGCCAAGAAGATGAGTTTTTCAAGCTCATAAGCCAAATGCATGTTTCATTATATATTGTAGACCAACAATGAGTGTTTATTTCTCCGGACCATCTTGATAAATTAAAGTCATGCCAAAAAGGTGTAATTACTTAGTTGATAGAAATGTTTCGAATTTTGTTTATACAAGGGGCATTTCCATTCAAAACACATAGAGATGTCTAATTTTTTTGTATTATGGTTTTGCAAAAGCCACCGTATTTGGTGATGCGTATATTGATATCCTATTATAATACAACAATACAAATATTTAAAGAAATTCAAAACAAACTTTCATAAGTTATAGAATCTTGTAAATCGGTTCTATCACCCCAACCACACCCCCACCACACGCAAGCGAGATTGGGGAAGTCCAACACGAAGGTTTGTGCAAAATTCTTCAAATAGAGGATGAGGAAGAGTTTTTGTAAAAAATATCTGCTAATTGAACATAAGTAGGGACGAACTTAGTTAGAAATTGTCCATGGAGAACACAATTCCTTAACAAAGTGATAGTTTGTTTGGCACACTTGTGAGAAATGGGATTCTGACCAAGAAATAGAGCCCTTCGATTGTCGCATAGTGTAGTAGGACAAGAATAAGGCAAAAAATACAACTCGCGTAGCGGGTGAGTGATCCAAACTTTTTCAGCAGACGTATCCACCAATGGCAGGTACACTGATTCATAAGTAGAGCGAGAAACAGTAAGTTGTTTCTTTGCACTCCAAGAGATAAGGTTACCACCCTAAAAATAGAATACCTATATGTTTGAATGTTGTGTCTGAATGCAAGCAATGATCATATAAGAAGGTACCATTAACATAAAGAAGAATGTGAATGACAGTTTGAAAGTCGTCTTCGGTTGGAGCATGAAGAGTTGGCTAACTTGATGGACAACATAGGAAATAACAAGTTTGGTGATTGTGAGATAATGAAGAGCCCAAACAATGATCAATATAACTTAGGATTCAAAAAAGGGCACCTTGAGTGGAAAAGTAAGTTGTAATATAAAGAGGAGTACCAACTTAATTCAATGTAGTAGAGTAGTTAAGACCTAGTACTTGAGTGAAACCTTGCATAATACGCGTAATTTGAACTAATCAATTATAGCATCTACATGAAATTTAGTGCGGAAAACCCTTTTTGAGCCATTAACATTTGCATTTTTAAGATAGGGAACAACATCCCAAGTTGCATTTTGATGCAATGCGACCATTTCCACATTAAACCATTTAGGATTTTTGCAACATATTTGTAGCCTCATGGTTCTTTACTAGAAAATACTGCCTGATGAAGAGTCGATGATGAGAGATGTGATAAATCGGCTATGTAACTAGTTTTAAAGATGCTAGCTTGAGACTTTATAATCATCGAATAACCAGAAGAAGTGGGTGGATGTGTTGCTGTTGAGGGTAACATGGTCCGTTGTACAGTAGGCGCTACAATTAGTTGTATCAGAGATGTCAGTAGAAGAGTTGTTGTAGTTAGTTGTACAGGCAATGAAACATGGTGACATGATGTATAGGCACAGGTACCGCATGAACAGGTAGAGGTAACGAAGAGACCATTGACGGCTGGGAAGTAGCCAAGTAGGCATAAAGATACCATCATAATAAATAGAAAACATCAATCATGAAGAATCAGAAGTAGAGGGGATACCAACAAACGGAAAGGAAGTTTCATTAAATTGAGTGTAACATGTGGTCTAAGTGTTTCGTATGGATAAATCCAAACAACAATAGCATTTAAATTCAATGGAATAGTCGTTGAACACACAAGGAGAGATACAAGGATCAAGCTTATATATTGAATAATATCGAAGATAACGATAAATATAGCTTCCAAAAACATTGATATTCCCATAATTTGGTGTAGAACAGAAAAAGATCTCATATGGAGATTGATTTTCCAAAAGTTTTGTTCTTAAGAGATTTAGGATATAAGTTATCAAACCAAAGGCTTGCGTGCACATGGGGGCAGGAACATAACATTAAACATCATTTCGAGCCATTTTTTGTAATATGATGGTGTTTCCTTTTGACATGACCATTTTATTGGTTCTTCTATCAGATTGAAACACTTTTATTTTGCATAAAAATTGAGTTTATATCACGTTAACAAAGGCTTTAAGAACTAAATAGAAATCGAATTTGACCTTTCATTGGTAAAACCATGAAAATATTGAGAAGTCGTCTACAAAACGAACATATTAACGACACCCATCCATGCAAACAACTAAAGAATTCCATGCAAACAACTAAAGAAGGACCCTATAGGTCAAAATGTATTAGGTCTAAACATGCAATGAACATTTTGAATTAAGGTCAAATGGAAAATGTTTACTTTTAGAAAACTGGCATGAAGCACAAAGTTGTGGGTTCGGTAAATCGGAGTAACAGAAAACAACCTACTTTATTAATCAAAGAAGCATGTGCTAAATGATTATGCCAAAGTTCATTAGACGCTCATAGTTTTTTTTAGAGGAAACACTCTCCAAGAAAGCATGTTAGCTTGCTGTAGCATATATAATCCATCCTTATTTTATCCTTGAGCTAGAGGATGCTTTGAAACATGATTTTGAATTGTAAACACAACATCATAAAATAAAAGAATCAATAAGGTTATCATAGGTAAGCTTGCTTATAGAGATCAGATTCTTGGTGACTTGTGGTACCATGATTATATGAGGTAAATTAATAGTGGGAGATACAATTGATGTAGCAAAATGAGAAATAGAAGAAGCATTACAATTACCAAAGAGGATCTGCTCATTACCAAAGTAAGTAAATACTGATCCAGCTATAAAGGGGTTGAAGTCACGCAGGTAGATGCTCCAGATTTAACAGACCAATCAGGTGAGTTATTAGGAAAATTTTGTTAACCATGATAACCTTATGCTAAATTTGCATGTGGAGAAGAAGAACAGTTGGGAAAGGAATGTAAACCACAACACTTATTAGCATAATGTTTATCCTTTAACAATATGAATGTCTAAGAGAAGAGCTTACATGATCACAACCATGGGACAAAACTCAATGTAAAGATCATATCCCATGATTGTTGGCAGAAGAACAACGACTAGAATATATAGTAATGAAGGAAGCAGGAGAAGGGTGTTGTTGATCATGGTGGCTAAAAAAACTTCGTGAGTTTCGACTTAAGAGATAGAAGGCCACGAAAAAAAGAATGAGGTCAGATTAAGTGTTGTGTGGTTAAGAACATTTCAAAGAAAGAACCCAGACCATAAAGAAACCACTGAATGTTATCAGATTCATCAACAGGTGACTGATGTCACAAATTTCATTACATATGGCTTTAAATTTCAGACTATAATTAATCAGCAATAGTAGATGATATGTTTTGAAGATGACTAATAGAATTACAAAGAGTATGTACTCATTTAATAGAGTCATGGCTATAGGTGTTTTCTAAATCTTTCCAGACAGGATAAGCAATATCATTGCAGAAGGAATTTGCCACGGCTTCCCCACATAGAGTCGTGGAAGAACAATAAGGGTGTGTTGATCAATAACAAGCCATGAGGTATATGCATAGCTTGGATTGGAGACATTGTATGTAATAATCATAATTGGCGGAACAAGGATAAACTTGTTGGGTTTTGAGCATTCTAACACTCCTATCGTGTACATGCAACCCTAGAAACCTTGGATCTATGTTTGACTAAGATACATGCAAAATGATTTTCCAAGGTTCATAATCCTATCTAGCATACATGGGGATCTTTTATTCTAATAGTTAGTAAGAATTACATACCTCTTTGTAGCTTGGATTCCTTTGAAGCCTTGTGAGCCTAGCACCTCAAGTGTGATGCCTCAAATGCTTCACACAACACCAAGTACACTTGGAATAAACTCTAAGAGAATAAGAACACTTGGATTTTCAGCTAGCCCTCTTTGATTCACTCTAATGGCCGAAAATAGTGAAGAATAGCTTCTTTATATAGTATGTTAAAATTAGGGTTACACCATGTAAACCCTAATTGTCATGACCTTTCATTTCCATGACCCATGGGTTATATAACCCCCATGGAGCATCTTATGGGTTTAACCCAACTTGATAATCCATGGAGCCTTGGCCCACTATATAAGTTATGGATGATTGACACAATCAACCCATATATTTAATTAGTCTTCTTTTGATCACATAATTAATTCTAAATTAATTATTGATCAATACTAACTAAATATTATTCTTCTTATTATTAATATATTAGAACTTATAATATATATTAATACACCATAAGTGTCTTATTTCTCTCATTTAGTATATCCAAGTGCATGATGCCATGCAACCCAAATGGACCATGTCGGGTCGGGTCAAGTACATACCAAATATAGTTATGGACTTAGACACTATATCCAATAGTCTCCCACTTGGATAAGTCTAATAACTATAGTTGAAAGTATGACTTTAGGAACCGATCAGCAATCATAGCTCTTTCAAGGTCTCTCGAAATTGAGAAGATGATGGTGTGCCATTTTAGATAAGTGATCATATAATCCTCTGTTCTAGATATCAGCCGGACAAACATATAGAACAATGTCTTTCTATTTTCTAGCAGTTGTTTCCCGATTTCTAATTTGTTTGACATAGAACTTAATTAAACACATCAATTTACTTCTGACCGGGCCCGGTACATTGGTCAAAACAAAATCATTGAGGGTCCTAGATATCGCTTCTAATCCAAGAAGGAACAGATAAACTTCGACTCATATGTTTGCTCTACTACTTGTTGAATTACACACAAAGGTACGTTTTATAACATCAAGTTACCAATGCGTTTTCGTACAATCAATGCATAACCAACTCATAGGTAAGAAATCATATGTCTAGGTTTGAAGACTTATATGATATTACCATCTCACGATCACTCGAGATAAATTCCATGAAGTGATACCAGTGAGCGTGGGTTGAATCCAATACTCAGAACTTATGAGCACTCATGAGTGTCGTAGCCCCCTTTGTCCAACATCTTGGACCTCTACAAACCAATCCATGATAGGCTTGATTCATATGTACTTCTAACATATGAT